TAAGATGAATGAGGTGATTGGCAATATTTTTCTCCTTTACATAAATCTCAAACAAATAATTTTATCTTTTTAAAAAAATCTATAAAAAAAGTGCTCCTTATTTAAAAAAAAAAAAAGTGAAACGCCCACATATCTTTGGCGTCCCTGCACTCCAGCCAGATAGAATTATGAGGGAGGTAAATTATGATATAATGTCAGAATTTACTTGGAGAGGAAAGGTAATAAATGAAAATAATAAGGCTAGCCCCTAGGTGATGAGAGAGAATATTTGGGATGCAGAAGAATGAGAATTTCGGAGCATTGATCGATCATCAGGTGCAGGGTAAAAAGTGAAAACAGAAAAAGCAAAAAAAAGAAAAAAGAGAGAACAGTTTGAAAGTGTAGTCAAATCATAGCGGTAAATTCCAGAGCAGATCAAAAAAGGGATAGGACAGCATCTCCTTCTTACCCCCTCCGTACACAAAATTAAATGTGATACTACCCCTCCCTGCCCTGCCCTGCCCTGCCCTGCCCTGCCTCCTCCTACTCAATCTACCCTAATCCCTATTTATGGAATTATAAAAAATCTGTATTTCAAACTATAGCCCCAACCCACATTCCAAACGGATCAAACTCTTTTTTCTTTCTTGATTTTGATATGAATTTATTAAAATCTAATTTAATGACGAGTTAATTTGATTGGTTTCAAATTATATCCAAACCAATCAAAACATGAAACAACGCACTATTCATATAATTCATCCTCTAACAATAATAGTTCACGTTCACTATTTAAAGGGTTAAACTTTATTCATTTTGTTTAGCTTATTTGATAATTACTCCCTCCGTCCCACTCTTTTTGTCTACTTTCATTTTTGCACACCATTCAATGCCTTCTTTAATCCACTTTATCTTGTAATTTATATATTAAAAAATTATAAAAATTATATATTAATAATCTATATGTTAAGACAAATCAAACAAGATCACACATGACTATTTTTAAACTTACACATTGAGAGAATTTGATGAGTCAAAGTGCTTAGATGAATAGTTCCAAAAGTCAAAACTGGACAAAAAGAGTGGGACGGAGGTAGTAAATAATATAGTCTAATTGTTAGATCTTTTCATTTGTTTTTGACAATGCAATTTTTAGTTTTTAATTTCATACTATTTTTGATTTAAATGATTTGAAAAAAAATTTAGTCAAACATCATAACACATAACGACATGTTTATTTATAAACGGAGTAAGCAGTAATCTACTATTAAGTACTCTAGTGTGTACTCTACCCCCTCTCTCTCCACTCCTACGACTGCACATACTCTATACAACTCCTACTTTTTTTTTCTCATTATCTTCTCCCTCCCTCCAACTTCCCCATCTCTTAAATAAATATAATAAAATTATTTTTATATTAATATATAATACTACCTCCGTCCAGAGTATTTGTCCACTTTCATTTTTACACACCATCCAATACATTTTTTTAATCTATTTTATCTTGTAATTTGTATATTAAAAAATTATAGAAATTATATATTAATAATCTATATGTTAAGACAAATCAAACAAGATCACACATGATTATATTTAGGCTTACACATTGAGAGAAACTTAATGAGTTAAAGTGCTTAAATGAACAGTTCCAAAAGTCAAAACTGAACGAATACTTCGGGACGGAGGGAGTATCATTTTTATTTCATTTGACAAGAAAATTTATCAATTTTGATAATTTAAAAAATTTAAAAATATACAAATATTCAAGAATGCACGGAGTAGTATGAATTCTTTGATATAAAAAAACATATTTCCTATTTTATTTGTTAGATTAAGATTATACTTAAAATTAATAATCATTCTAAAATGGGAAAATGTTGTTTGGTTTTGAAGAGAGGAAATAAAAAAGATAAGAGTAGTGTAGTAATAATGGGGATGGGGCCGGGGTAGAATAGGGAATAAAAGGAATTAGGGAGCAGAGTACGTACGTAGCATCATTCCATTCTCTGGGCAGGGGCAGGGGCAGGCCCAGGAATTTCCCATCATTCCCTTTCCCTCTCTGATCTTCCCGTAAAGTCTTCTTCCACTTTATGTACTGTGTAGTAGACCAAAGTTTTTTTTTTTTTGCCTGTCTTTTCTCCCTAATCCCAACAAACAAACTCTCTTTCTTCCCCTCTTTTCTTTCCTCTATTCCTATTCCACCTCCCTACTGTTCACCACTCCTCCCACACTTTCTTCATTTTTTCAAATCAACCATCTATCCTATAAAAAAGATAAGCCTTATCCTCGAGAGCCCTTCAAATCCGACGGGACAATGATTTAAAAGAATAAATTGAATTTTTATTACCTATTAGTGTCAAAGAATGGATCTTGAATCTAATACTTGTAAATGTTCTACACTTAGAGAGTGTTTGGTAGTAATTAACTTATGGATAAAGTGATTTCCACAAAAGCTGAAAGCAGAAGCACCTCCTACCTGCTTCTTCGAAACGGTGTTCTATGTACAAAATAATGGTGCTGAAAAGCAGAAGCTGACGTGCTAAACAGAGTAAAATCATTTCTACTCAAAGCAGAAGATAAATGATTAAAAGCAGCACACTGCCAAATACCCTCTTAGCATAATTGTCTTTCAGTGCAGTTGCTAGTAATCAAACTCGAGTTTACCCCTTAGAACTCCTTGCTCTGCGAACTATGCAACACTCACCGGTAACCATGTATCCTAAATTATATACCACAAGTGTGTATTTAACTCTTTGACGGTTTATACTAACACAAAATGTTATTCTAATAAAAAAATCTATATAAACATTTTGTTTTAATATAATCCATCAAATTGTCATTGCACACACATAGTATACAAATCAGGTACAACCCTTAGTGTACAAGTAATTTTGTGTGAGAACTCTCTAAACAAGAGTAAAAAATTATGAAAATATCAAAATAGGAGTCATAAGTCTTTTAAGACCAAAATAAGAGTTTACATTGTTATTGTTGCACTGTCACACTCTCCACATTGTTATATTTTAACTGTCACACTATCAACGTCACACTGACATTCATCGTTGCCGCCTACCCGAATGCCGCTACAGATCATAGACGGTTAACTGATTACACTGATATATTACATTGTTATTACTTTTCCATCACACTGCCAATGCATATTCTTACACCACATTGTCATTACATTTCATATTTTGGTTTTAAAAGAGATTAGAGATATGACTATTATTTTGGTATTTTCAAACTTTTTTACTCCTATCGAGATACATTTCTTTAATTATACTATTTTGAAATTCACAAGCCTCAAAAGCTTAATATATTTCCGTCTTCTTAATTTTCTCTTTCCCTCTCCATTATACTACTCCCTTCGTCCCAAATTATTTGTCACATTTCTATTACCGAGGTAAAATATCAAGTTTTTTCAATTTATTTTATTTACATATTGGTAAAGAAATAAAAAATAAAAATTACATAACAAAAAACTACATGAAAAGTTCTTCGAAATAAGAAGTGTCAAGAATATTTTATTTGATCAAATAACCAATGAAAACGTAGAAATAAATAAAAATTCACGCGACTATTGAAAAAGCAAACGTGGCAAATAATTTGAGACGGATGGAGTATTCATTTAGAAGACCCCCCTAGTAAAATCAACTCTCTCCGTCTCGAATTCGATTACAAATTGTGATTTACAGGATAAAATCTTTCATCTGTTGAATTCATTTTATTTACAAATAGATATATATCGATAAAAAATAAAAATTACATATTAAACGACAACGCCGAAGTTTTACTGAATAAGAGATTTGATAAAAATATTTTATTTTATCAAATATGAAAGCACACAAGTAAACAAAACTTACATAAGAGAGAGTAAAAAATTATAATCAAAATTAGAACAGATGGAATATCTGATATTGTTTGAGTGATTTGGAGTAATATTTAATTGGTTGAAAAGTAAAAAAAAAAAATACTCGTAATAAAAAATGGGTTTTGGGGGATGCAAATATAATGAGAGGAGAGGAGTGTGGTGGGGGAGTCAAAGGAAGGAACAGCCGATCGTCGAATTGGGGGGCAAATGGGTGAAATCATTTCGTTTCGTCTCACTCTCATCTCCCCCTTCCTCTCTCTTTTTGTGTATTCTTTAATCGGATCCGATGGGAATGAAATTTGTTCCTTGGCATTTCTTTCTACCTTTTAATTTGTACCAACCACTCTAATTTTTATTGCAAAATCCTAAATACTTTAATGAGTATTTATTTTAATTAAAAATAAAAAAAAGGATTTTTTTATGGTATTTTAATTGGAACGTACCGAAGCTATGAATGTCAACTGAATATTTGACCTATTATGCATGCCCTAAAGTTTTCAAGTCAAATTCAGAATAAGTCGCTATCAAACCCAATTAGTCAGCACACATTTCATGCCCATCGCCTTTTTAAAATCTTTTTTTTGTTTATAGAATAAGGTAATATCCAACCCCATGATTCCATATAATGAAATATTTGCACTATATAGCAGTAAAACTTAACTCATTTCTCTAAATAGCACTTAAATTGTTTTATTTCCTAAGAAGCACTTAATAATGTCCAATTTCCATAATGTCCAGTAATGGCGAATATTTACTTAAATAATGACTAATGCATAATAACTAAAAGTGCTACATTGGGAAGAAAAACACATGTGGCGATATTTAGGGAAAGTCATTATATTTTAGTGCTATATAAGTAATTTCTCTTCCATAATATCACCTCAAGTAGTAGACTAATATCACATGTTAAATTAAGTTACTCGTATAATTTTATTAGAGTATATTAAATAATATAGTACGGAGTATTATTTTAAATGTTTGTTAATATTTTTATATCTAGTTATACAAAACTAAAACTTGGATTAAAATATACCATAAACATAATAAAAATGAACGAAAGCTTCTGAATAATTATGGAATAATTTTAAAAAATTAGTTGTAGTTTTTGGTATACGGCTAACATTTTAACATTTTTGTACGTACATAAAGAAGTAAAGAGACTCTCTATATATACTTGAATTGAATATGCGGAGTACCATATGGCCTCTAGCCCTCTCCTCATTCTCTGAACCATAAAAAAGAAACAAACAAACAAACAACCTAACAAACAGCCAGGCAAGCTCAGCTCCAGCTGCTCCTTTGGCATTCTAGCTACTTGCAACGGAGATACATTCTGAGATGCCGGCGGCGGCGGAGATCGTCGGGGGGCGGCAGAGCCACCGCGTGAGGCAATACGTGAGGTCAAGAGTGCCTCGTCTCCGGTGGACTCCCCACCTCCACGCCTCCTTCCTTCACGCCATCCACGCCCTCGGCGGCCCCCACAGTACGTACTCTCTCTCTCTCTCTCTCATTATATTTAATTATTTATTCTCTTGTAGATTAAATAATTAGTAATGGAATAATAATGAATGGATGGATGGGGTGCAGAGGCAACGCCGAAGAGAGTGTTGCAGATGATGAACGTTCCAGACCTCACCATTTCCCATGTCAAAAGTCATCTCCAGATGTACCGGTGCATGACCCCCGCCGCCGCCGTCGTTGGTTTCGCTCCCGGCCACCACCACCACCACCACCGCCATAATGGTCCGTTTTTATTTCTTATTCATTCCCTTTGTTACTTCATTTCGTATTATTTTTATTCTCACAGCCCTTTGGCGGCCGGTCTTCTTTAATTTCAGCGTCGAAGAAGACGCCGGCGGCGGGGAGTGGGTTGAAGCCGGAAAGTGGGCACCGGAAAAGAGCTTACTCCGGCGGGGAGAGGAAGGAGGAGCGTTTGATTTGTCCGGATCACGGCGGCGTCACAGAGCTCAGTGTAGTGCAGCCCATCATTAGTAGTATTCCCTCGCCGCCGTTGTCGTCCTCGTCTTCTTATTCTCACCTAACTGCTATAGAGGTTGACTTTTTCAAGGTACCCATAATACCCCTTTTAATTCCTCAGTTTTATTACTCCGTATTTTTTTTAAAAAAAAAATACTCCCTCCGTCTCTAAATAAAGTTCCATTTTTGATTTTTTGAGGATTTAAGGAAAGGATATTTTTGTGTTGACTTTCCAAAAATACCCTTGATGTGATGTGTAAAAGTAAGATGCGATAGGTAGGTTATTAGTAAAAAGGTATGATGTGATAGGTAGGGTATGAAAAAGTAAGGGGTAAAAGGAATTTTTTAAGGAAAAAGAGAAGTTTATTTAGAGACAAAGAAAAAACAAAAGGTAAAGTTTATTTACGGACAGAGAGGGAGTATATATTTTGTACTACTACTCCTCCTGAGTCCTTAGCTATATGATACGTAGTATGATATTCGTTCTGCAGTCCTTTCATTTCACGTACTCCGATCCCATCCTTTTATTTACCGGATCCGACTCCACTTTATGCATGTTGACCATAATGTTGTACTCTCACCTCTCTTCCTTCCTAATTTGATCACTATTCTGGTTTTACGAGGAGACATATATATCTTATTTTTTTAAATCATTTTATTTACAAATTCATATATTAATAAAAAAATACTCCGTAAAAATTACATATTAAAAAATTACGTTAAAAGTTTTACAAAACAAGATGTGGCAAGAATATTTTATTTTATCAAATGCTTAATGAAATTGCATAAACAAACAAAAGTTATGGACCGGAGTTAGAAAAAAAATTATAATCAAATTGAAGACGGATGGAGTATATATATTTTTCGATAAGGATTACAATTATTATTATTATGATCGTTATTATTAATGCTCGGTACGTATTCTTAAATATTTTAAAAAATAAGCAGGAAGAAGAGGAAAAATGGAAGAAGTACAAAGTGGATGAAAAGGAGGAGGAAGAAGGGGAAGAAGGGTGGGGAATGTCTCTGTCGCTCTCGCTATCGCCTCGTAGTTGCCCTTCTAATCTTGATTTGTCCATTGCTCTCACTACTACTACTCCTCCTCCTATAGCCTCTTGATTATTAATTACTACCATTGATTATATTGATTTTAATCTTAATTAATATTACTATATTTCTTTTTTTTACTATTGATTATTTACTTAATTAATTATCAGGAAATTAATGTATTCATATATATATACTTTCCCATGCTTACAAACTAGGGAGTATCCGAGTATGTGTGCCTATCAATTTTGGGATGTTATTTTAACTATTATTAAGAGGCTGTTTGTTTCAGCCTCTTAATGATTCAGATGTCTGAATGATTCAGCACTTAATGGTTCAGACTGTTTGTTTCAGCATCTTAATGGTTCAGAAGTTAGAATGGTTAAGAGATTTGCCTCTGAATGATTAAGTATTATACAGAGTCTGAATGGTTAATATCTCTTATCTGAATTGATCAGACATTTGCCTGTGAATAGTTAAACAATATATATTAGCTTTTAATGGTTCAGGCCTCTTACTAGTTCAGCACTTAATGGTTCAAACCTCTTACTGATTCAGCACTTACCTATTCAGAAGTTGCCAAACAGCCCCTAACTCTTTTGAATTGTGATATCGATTTGATTTATATTCCATTAACTACTAGGGTGATATTTCGTATATAGAGTCATCATCACTCATTAGTGATTTAAATGTGTAATCTTTCATTTGAGAGAACTGTGGTTTCTCTTAATTTTGATATTGAGTATTCACTGCTTTCCAATAAAAGATTCAAAGTGGAGTATATTTTTAATCTTGATGTTGAGTACTCACAATTAGAATGCATTTTTTTCGTCTAATTTGATCTGATTTGAACTGAAATTTTTAAAATTGACTTGATCAGAAGAATTTGATATGTTTGGATCTAATCTAATACTCGTATGAATAAACAATAAGTATCAGAAATAAGTTGAAGAGAACAAGACCTCTCTTAATTTCAGTCAAATTCTATCTTTAAGTTTATGACGTAGTGGTAGCGCATAGAAATATATCTCTTTTAAAAATGCTTCTGATCGCTCTATATAAAATGCCTAGTACTTTGAGTAAATAATGATGAATGCTTCCATTTTACATAGCGCTTCAATTCAGAATTAATCGTCGATTATAAGGAGCAACTTTTAAGATACTCCATCCATTTCAAAATAAGGTTCATAATTTGATTTGACACAAAATTTAAGTAAAGTAAAAATCTGTTGCAAAATTTCATTTAGCACACTTAGAGTTTATCAAAAGTTAAATAAATATGAACACATCATTGATTATTCATGTCAATATTCATTCGATTTTTGATGTATCACAAAAATCATAATAGACGGTAAAACACATGATAGTGGCCTAGACAATGAAACAATTCATGTGCCTAAACTTGTATTTCTTACTCAGAGTGTACAAGTATGTGTATGAATGATTCAATGTTCCTCCTTCTCCTCATCTTAAAATATATTTATATAGGGTGGAGGAGGTTAATTAAGGTAACAAGTCCCTACTCAGGCACGGGCCTAGCGCCAATAAACATCTGGAGCATGATCCTCGTTCTACAATTAAGTCCCGAAGATGGCGGGGTTTGGTAGCGAGATTGCACAACACCTTTCATCGCCTAGCCCTCTCAACATCAACCAAACCCTCCTAATTCAATCGAGCAAAACCTTAAGGTCCTTTTCTGGATCATTTGGGAATGACCATGCCGAAATAAGACCATAGGGAGCACATTTGACTTTGTACACTAAAGTCTAAACAAACATCGAATATATATGTCGTACCAGTACAAAATTACTCGGTACTTTCTTTTTTCTAAACGGAGAGCAAAGAAGAGAAGCTTATGAGATCCGGCAGTTCTTGCGGGTCACAGCAATTACTGTCATCGCCACCGCGCACGGCGATCGCCTGCAGCGGCGGAGTGGATGCTAAAAAAGGCTGATCATCATCAAATGTCTCCCAACGGTCAGTTATGATTAGAGTTTTCAATCCGCCTTTCTCCACCGCCGCATCCCGCCCCTCGGCTTCCCGTCGCCGTCTTCCTTCATCCGTCTCCGGGGATGGACTCGATCTGGTTTTAACATGTCCGGAGGAAGAATCGGAAGAGGATGATGATGGTGATTGCGAAGCTCTTCCGCTGATGATGTCCTCCAGTTCCCGGATGTCTTCCTCCGGGATACTCTTCACTTTTGGGCATTGTAAGTTGTGGATCAAGCCGAGCTCGGTGCATATCTCGAAGAAGGCGGCGAGATCTCCGCCTTGCACGGCGGCCTTCTGCATCACCCGCAGAGCCACCTTAGCCTCTGCCCTCTCCGCCGTGTAGATCCGTAGCAGAACCTTCGTCACTCCGCTGCATATCAGCCGGTACACGTCGTAGACCTCGAACACAACCAGATCCATCGCCGTGGCGACCAGCGGCAGCGCGGCCAGTTCCGGCTGCTGCGGCGTCACCTGCAACAACACGTCGAGCAGCCCCTGCAGCTTCTCCAGCGCGGCGAGGTCCTCCCCCACGTCGAAAGGGGAGAGGCGGCGGCTCTGCTCGCCCCGCCGTCTCCCGGTGGATCCGAACGACGCGCTGCGCGTGGGGTTTGTTCCGCACCCGCGGGAAGCGGGAGAGGTTACGGATTTTTGGTCCAGGAAGGCGAAATATGTGCGAACAAAGGCGTTTTGGGCCCACGTCTTCTCGGGGCAGGAATGGCGGTCGGTGAAACCGGAGAGGTCGAACGGCAGCCGCCCGATCCCGTGGGGGGCGGCGTCGGAGCTGAGAACGCGGTGGAGGAGCATGAGGGCCTTGAGGGCGACGACCCAGCTCCGGGTCTTCTCCAAACGGGCCGCAATGGCCCACAGAACGGGGCGGAAATTGGCGCCGGGAGAGAGGCGGATCCAGTGGCACACCTTATCGACGCAGCGTTGATCGACGGGGAATTCGTCGTGGGTGGTGGCTCTGATGACGGCGGCCTCGATTTCAGGGCGGCGGAGGGCGGTTCTGGTGGCAAAGCTGGCCGACAATAGGCTGTTCTGGTCTTTAAGGGCGCCGGAAACGACTTTCCATAGCCTCATTATTAATTGATGATAGATATCTTCCTTCAATTATATTTCTGGATATGATTGCGCGTATAATGCAATTGAAGATCTAAGAAGACGGTGAAGAAGAAGAAGAAGAAGCGCAGGCAGGCAGGGATGCATATGGGATTTGATGAATTGCTGCGTTGCGCTTCCTTCTTCTCTTTGGGCGTAATCTCCCTCTCCTCTGCCAAGCAGCTCCAAGGAGAAATGACGGGAAATTTAAAAAAAAACATTACCAGGAAACCAATTATACCAAGGTTGTAATGGGCTGTGTTATTTACCTGTAATCGACTAAATGAGCCTAACACAAAGATGAGCCCAATCAATACAAACTGAGAATTGTCGTTGTTCAGTATAATTTATTTATGGATTAAGTTATTTGTACACCAAGATTTGTATCCTAATGTGTACATTACAGGTGTACATCTACATTCTGTGTCGGTGTAATATTAAGGTGATAGTTCATACGAACATAAAATGTTAGTGTAAATTTTTGTTAACGCACCAGCATTTTGTATCAGTGTGAACCATCAAAATGTTATTGTATATTTTTTGTGTAATTTTAGGGTAAATTTTTTGGTGTAAGTGTAGCATAGTTGTTTCTTTATTGCATGTGAAAAAACAATACCTGCATAGTTAATTCTAACAAATATATCTCCTCTATTAAAAATATTTTCCATTTTCTTTTTGAAACGTCTAAAAAACTCATCTTTTCAGTATTGACAAATTTTGTACGACCCAATACCTATTTTTTTTTCTTGAGGTCTTTTCGATCAATAATTTCACTTTTCTTAAATTTTATATCAAATTTAATTAAAGAGTTTTTTCCTTGGAGGGAGGAAGTATTTCATCTCGGGGAAGAAAAAAATAAAAAATAATGTGGAAGCAAAATGAAAGTGAGACTTGTTGATTATAACTAGAAAAGAATACTCTCTCCGACTTTGAATATTAGTCTAATTTTAAGTTTTTTTGATAAAAAATGGTTTGAAATTAAATAAAAATGATATTAGATATTTATTTAAAAATAATTTTATTAGATATATTATCTAAATTATTTTTAAAATATTATTTATCTAATTAATATACAATATAAATTTTATTTAATTATAAATTAAAAAATTAAATTTAAAAAAATTAAAACTAAGACAAATATTATAAGGTGGAGAGGTAGTACTATTTGTTGTTTGGTTTGTCATACTTGTAATAAAAAGATGGATACGGTAACGTTCGGTGTGATCATAGGGATAACTGTGCTATTCTTCATCATCGTCCTAACCATCACAATCGAGGGCACCTGCCGCAGAAGGAACAAGTGAATCTGCTCTCCTTATCGTCTTAATCCACTCATTATCTCAAATCCCTAATTCTACGGAGCAAATTCCCTTTACAAAACCAGTGATGTGATTAGAGCCAGAAATGGCGGTTCATCTGAGTCAGATCTGCGGCATACTTTGTGTGCTATTGCTGGTAACGGGATCGTGTGTGTTTTCACTGGTACACGGGCACTCCGATGGGGATGCGCCGGGACAATGCAGCCACGGACACGACCACCACCATCACCACCGCCACAGCGGCGAGGCGGCAGCCCACGACCATTCTCATCACCAGTGTAGCCATGGACACCACGGGGGCGCTGATGTGAAGAAAAGGAAGCTGCTTCCCGAGGAATTGGCTGAAGAGGAAGATTTGAAGATGTACGGATTTTGGGAACCCGATGAAGACCATCACCTTCATCATCATGCCCATGCCCATGTTGAGTCTGAGCTCTCCGGAATTGGTAATTGAGCTACTAATTTGTTTTTATATGATGATGGTTGTATTGTTTTGATACTCGTGTCATTTTTGGTTGAAGCTCTTCCCATGGAGTAGTACTAGGTCACTGTATGCTCCCTTTTACTCCGTATTTGATAATTCATTGGGGTATTTTATTTCAACCTGTTAAATTTTGGATTGATATATCTGCGTAGAGCTCACCATTGTATACACTGCATTCAAATAGAAATGCAAAATTGTTTTATTTTATTTTATTTTATTTTTGCAAAAGTTGGTATTTGATATTACACCACACTTGGTAACATTGATACCAAACCGTAGAAAATGGACTATGAATTTCAAGAAGTAATTTGATTATATGACTGATCTATCAGAAGTTAGACTTCGAACTTTCACATTTCTTTATTTTAAACCTGAATGAATCTCTTCATTTTAAGACTTTGCTCATCATTTCCATGCCTTCTTGAAAAATGCTTCCACGCCTTGGAGGCATCCTGATGGCATGACTTTCTGTGAAAAAAATGTAAACTTTTGTTACCTGCAAATAAGTTAGCTTATGTGTAGTACTTGTGCATGTCTAACGGAGACTAACTTGTATTACTTGAATGTGAATTAGAAGTTTGTGGGAAAACTGTGGATTGGAATTATAGCCATATGACTCTAATTTAACTTTGTGCTTTTTTTCTCTGCTTTTTCCGGGATTTGTTTACAGGCCTTTGGCTACATGCAATGAGTTGCTCCCTATTGGTGAGCTTGGCTTCCCTCGTTTGTCTGTTCATTTTGCCTATATTCTTTTGTGAGTGGCTGTATGCCTTTTTTTTTGTTTCTTTTAATCTTCAACTTGAGTAGATCTGCTTATAAACAATTTTATGAAGCTAAATGATTCTTCTATTCTGCAGTAAATGGGAAGCCATCCAACACAATAGTAGATTCTTTCGCATTATTTGGGGTTAGTTACACGATTTCTTTCTTTTTTAGTGCCAACTTATCCAATGCTTGCTAACCTAAGATGTAATTATGCTTTATACTCCCTGTGTCCCTTGTTTATCTTCTTATTTACAACGTAATTACAGGGTCAAACACTTTTCATTTTATAGAGCTTGATGTAGTATTTAGATATATAAATTTTATTTTAAAAATTTATACCACTATGTAAATAAATAAAATAGAAATAATTTCAGTCAATCATCTTAATGTGAAAAAGGCATATTAGATAGGAATGAAGAGTTTACAATTCATGTAAGTTCGAGCAGTTAAGCTGATGCAGATGCTGATATTGAAAAATTGCAATGCATAATTGAGGACAACTTGTGATCTATCAAACAATCTCTGTTACTAATTTTATAAATTTTGTATGTTGTGTTTGGTAGTTCTGAACTAGAGTGCAATTTGCTGTCTGCATTTCTTGAGTTTTTCCTATAGACCTCTGGTGCTTTAAAAGCAGTTTTTGGGATTTCTCTTCTTGGATCGTTACTTTTTTTTTCGCTTAATAAGCTGTCTTCCTCATCCAGGCTGGAGCTATGTTGGGCGATGCTTTTCTCCACCAATTGCCTCATGCTTTTGGTAAGATATGGAAAAAGACCTTTCAGAATTCATTTGCCTTGGTGATGTGTGAATTCCATTTAAGTTTACTGCATTGGTTATATAATATCTAAGGTTTGCAAGGTGAATAGAGCATGGTGAGATTAGTGTCACAACATCTTATTGATGTACATTATTAGTGTCACTGCATGGAAAGGGACCTTTCAGAATTCATTTGCCTTGGTGATGTGTGAATTCCATTTGCTGCATTAGCTATATACTTACATTATGTCTAAGATTTGCACGATGAATAGAGCATGGTGAAGCTAGTGTCACTACATCTTATTGGTGTACATTATGCATGCCTTATACTCCCTCTGTCCCAATTTGATTACAAATTGCGGGTTACGGAGTAAAATTTTCTACTTTTTGAAATCATTTTATTTACAAATTGATATATCAATAAGATATAAAAATTACATATTAAAAAACTACGTCAAAAGTTCTACAAAACAAGAGGTGACAAGAATATTTTATTTTATCAAATACTTAATGAAATCGCGTAAACAAACAAAAGTTATCGAGAGAAGAGAGAAAAAAAATTGTAATCTATTTAGGGACGGAGGGAGTAGTATTTTGCCGTATTTTTTTAAAGAATCAGTAAATTTTCTTATTGGCAAAAATATTTTGAGCACACCCTGAAAACTAAGTTCACAGACCACTCGAGGAAAGATTACGCTTCACTTTCAATAAAAATTACAGTAGTATAAATACAAGAGACATTGACAAATCAGAATTACTTATTTCCCAGGCCTCTTGTTCTCTTTAATTCTTATTGGCTTGACCAGTCACCATTTACACTTAGGGTCCGTTTGGTACACGGAATTGATGGAATTGGAATTGAATTGGAATTAAAATTCTATGAGATTCAATTCCATAGAATTGAATTCATCTATTCCAATTCATTTTTTGCATTACCAATTTCAAATCCACGTAATTTTTGTGCTACCAAACACGAGAATTGGAATTTAGGTCCTCAATTCCAATTCCATAGTTTGAATTCCGTGTACCAAACGGGGCCTTAGGGAAGCTGTATATATAACTAATACCTGCTAATACTTATTTATTTACAAAAGTTGGAGTAGTTATACGTATGGGCTTGACCGCGCTTCTTTTTTATCCACATGTGGGCTTGATCATGCTTCTTTTGCTCTCATACTTATATTCTCCATCTGCCCCTTTTTGTTTATCCTCCCACCTTCTGTTTCGAGTTGTCCCTAAATAATGTTTCTATCTCCTTTTAACTTTTAAACAAAGAATTATCTTGTTTATGTTATTTCTCTTTCTTCCGCATAAATCGCAATCACAAAATTTTATCTTTTTAAAACTCCGTATGAAAAGAAGATAACAATAACAACAACCTAGTTGATTCCCACAAGAGTTGGGACTGGGGAGGGTGTGTGTACATGGACCTTATCCCTACTTGAAAGTAGAGAGGTTGTTCCCAAAGAAGGGACTCAGTGTCGAAAGTTGCATTGATTGACTAACTACTACGTCCTTAATAAAAGAAGCACAAATAGTTTAGAGATCCATTTTGCTTTATTCCATCACAACCCAAAGCCAAAAAAATAGTGAATTTTTGGATTTATCGAAGATGATGGAAAACTGTGTGAAAAGAAGATGAGAACATTAAATAGGGACAGAGGGAGTATAAATTAAAATAGTGTCATGCAAGTCTCACATCTTCCCCTTGCTGCACACCCTACCCCTAGAAACTCAACAACAATCATGTGTAAACATATATTGAGTTGTATTTGAACAGCAATGTTATTCCATTTTCAGGTGGAAACCACTCCCATTCAGAGAGCCATGTGGACCATTCTCATGATCACGGCCATTCCGGACATTCACATTCTCATTCATTGAAGGATCTGTCTGTTGGCATATCCATATTGGGTAAGTTGCTCTTGTGTTTTAATTTTCATTGATGTGCATGTAAATATATTTTGGATCAAATGAGAATGCCTACTTGCGTAAGAAATGTGAAATAATTTGGAATTTCCAAGTGATCAAATGACGTAAGAGATTTAGTGGCATGTTGACTAATTATGTTTTCAAGTTAAAGTGTAGCACATAATGTATGGTGTAGAAGCATGTGATTTTTCTATAGTATTGTGCTACTGTTAACGCAGAAGTGCAAAACTGCAGAAGTGTGTGTGTGATATATATACAGTGATGTCCCATTGTCTGCATACATCTACCTCCCCCAGACCCCACTAGTGGGATTTTGCGGTGTTGTTGTACTGTTTCCATATGATAGTATGGTAATGCATCATATTTTCATTATTGAAAAGAATTGAAGTTAAAAGATTTTAATCAAAAAAGTGTTTGGTAGATTCATATACTCATATTTTTTAATATTACATGATGTAACACAACTGTAAAGAGCTGTCGTGAGCTTCCAAATTAATTCTTATATTACCCCTGGTAATTAAACAGCTAAAACTATAGTTGAACTATAATTAGATTGAATTCTCAAAATAGTCCTTATTAATAAAGTGTTTTTCCAAATCAATCCTCAACAAGCAATAATTTCTAAAATAGTCTTTTCTAATAAAGTGTTTTCTCAAATCAATTCTCTAAAAGCAATAATTACCTACATACTCCCTCCGTCCTAAAACTATCTTCCCACTTCTCCTTTTTCTCCGTCCTAAAACTATCTTCCGACTTCTTAAAAGAGGATGTAAATAGACTATATTACCCTTAACATCTCAATTGTTGTCATCCGTCTTCCATTTGTTTTCGGTCTCTGCCTTCTTCCCCTTCATTAGATCCATCTCACTTCCCTCTCCCTCTTTCTCCATCTCTCCTTCTTCTCCCTCTCCCTCTTCCTCCGATCCATCTCTCCTTCCTCTCACTTTCTCCATCTTTCTCTAGAGATGTAATCCTCTGCGTCTCTCTTCCCTCTCCTTCTTTCTTCCCCTCCTTCTCAAAATCACAGATCTAAGAGTGGGGAA